ACACCTGTAATCCCAGCGCTTTGAGAGGCTAAGTCAGGAGGATTGCTTGAGCCCAGGAGTTCGAGACCAATCTGGGAAACATAGCAAGACCCCTGTCTCTACAAAAAATAAAAAAATTAGCTGGGCGTGGTGGCACGTGCCATTGGTCCCAGTTACTCAAAAGGCTTAAGCGGGAGGATGGCTTGAGCCCAGGAGGGCGAGGTCGCAGGGAGCTGAGATCACACTACTGTACTTCCAGCCTGGGAGACAAAGCGAGACCCTGTCTTAAAAAACAAGCAAACAAAAAAACCCATCTCCCGGTGCTCCTTAATTTCACTCCCCTCTTTTCCAGCCAGATGCTAAGATAGCTGAAGGGGTAGAAATTGCAGATCTTTATTTATGTAGCAAGAGAGAGGAACTGGGAAAGCAGTGAGTGTTCATGTAGGACAGGAGTCTTTTTTTTTGGAGACAGAGTCTCACTTTGTTGCCCAGGCTAGAGTGCAGTGGTGCCGTCTCGGCTCACTGCAACCTCCACCTCTCCAGCTCAAGCGATTATCCTGTCTCAGCCTCCTGAGTAGCTGGGATTACAGGCCTCCGCCACTACATCCCGGCTAATTCTGTATTTTAGTAGAGACGGAGTTTCCCCATGTTGGCCAAGGCTGGTCTTGAACTCCTGACCTCAGGTGATCCACCCGCCTCGGCCTCCCAAAGTGCTGGGATTACAGGCATGAGCCACCTCGGCCGGCCTGACAGGGGTCTTCTGATGACTCCTCAGTGCCTCCCAACCCACCATACAGAGCACAAAGCTTTAACTATAAGGCAGAATGTGAACATGGGGAAATAAATGCAATTTTTTTAAAAAAACAGCCAAACAAAAAAATTCCTAATGGTGGAAATGCTGTTTGCTTTTTTTTTTCATTTGGTAACAATGATGACCATCATGATCCTCTACTGCCACAGTGGTGTCAGTCCCTGATGCCGAAACTTAGTGACACTTCTGTGCTCGTCCCCAGTGAGCGCTGAGATGCACGACCTGGAAACTCCTAGAATGAGTGACTGATGCCAAGGGTGTGGACCAACCTCTGCAAGGACAGGCACCTTTCTTTTGTGTGTCCCAGACTTTTTTGTTGGATGGTGCATTCTGATTTGCCTCCTTCCCCCAACGATGGCTACTAAAATACCTGAAACCATAAAATGCCCCTTTGTCAAGGATGGATCCAGGTTTTGTGAGGCAAAAACAGACAAATACACCTCTGCTGCAAAGTTTACGTGAACAAACGAGCAGGTGAGCCTATTGCCGCGCTCCTCTCTGACCTTGAAGGGTGGGCGCAAGCTCAGGTCTCATTCATTTGCTATTTGTTGTTCAATGCTCCCAAACACCCAATTGTTGCCCTTGGCAACAAACACATCAATTTAAGAAGGGGGGAGTTCAGGCCGGGCACGGTGGCTCACACCTATAATCCCAGCACTTTGGGAGGCCGAGGGGGTGGGGAGTGGATCACTTGAGGTTAAGGGTTCGAGACCAGCCTGGCCAACATGGTGAAACCCCATCTCTACTAAAAATACAAAAATTAGCCGGGCGTAGTGGCGCTGTGCCTCTAATCCCAGCTACTGAGGACGCTGAGGCAGGAGAACTGCTTGAGCCTGGGAGGCAGAGGTTGCAGACTGTCTGAAAATTAAAAAAAAAAAAAAAAAAAAAAGGAGGGGTCGTTGACATAAGTATTCTGTGTGTGATTGTATTCAACACATTTCATTTTTTGGTTAATTGTGCTTTTTTCTTTTGAGACTGAGTCTCGTTCTGTCGCCCAGGCTGGAGTGCAGTGGCGCGATCTCGGCTCACTGCAAGCTCCGCCTCCTGAGTTCACGCCATTCTCCTGCCTACAGGCGCCCGCCACTGCGCTAATTTTTTTCTGTATTTTTAGTAGAGACGGGGTTTCACCGTGTTAGCCAGGATGTTCTCGATCTCCTGACCTCGTGATCCGCCCGCCTGGGCCTCCCAAAGTGCTGGGATTACAGTCGTGAGCCACCGCGCCCGGCTGGTTAATTGTGCTTTTAAAAAATATCCCTCATCCCTGTAAATATATACACCTACTATGTGCCCACATAATTAAAAATTAAACAATTTTAATCTCCTAAGAATAAAAAAGGAGACCAAGCATGTGGAGAAATAAATGTCTCAACACACCATAAGGATGGATTGGAATGGCCCTTCTGTTATTTTGACAATGATATTAAAAGTCCTGGCCGGGCGCAGTGGCTCATCCCTGTAATCCCAGCATTTTAGGAGGCCGAGGCAGGAGGATGGCTTGAACCCAGGAGTTAGAGATCAGCCTAGGCAACATAGCGAGACCGCGTCTCTACTAAAAAAAAAAAAAAAAAAAAAAAAAAAAAGCTAGTATCTTGCATTTGTAATTCGTCGGATGCCTGCGTAATCTGTCTCTTCGCATCAATTCCGTGGGTGTGTGATGTAGGGATCTGGGGCACGGGAAGTTATTCCTGCTTCATTTCCTGACGCTGACGGGCTGGGCGGCGTCCCTGCGGCCCCAGGGCACATTTGGACGTGTTTGGCAGGGAGAGTCCTGGCCCAGCCCCTGCACGCAGGGCCGCGCTTCCACGGGCCGCCGCCAGGAGACGCGCGAGGCTGCAGATGGCGGCTTTGCAGTGAAGCCGGGAGGGTCGAGGGGCTGGGCGGTCGAGGGGCGGGGCCGCGTGCAGCCGGCCCAGATTCCTTTCCGGCCAGTTCCTTCCAGGAGCTCTCCCCGTCTACAGCGCCCTCTGCTACTCACCCAGCTCTCTTGTATCTGAGCCTCATTTTCCCACCGTCCTTTAAGCCCATTTTCCCATTGCTCATTTGCAGCCAAGTTTTTTGCGTCCCCCTTCTCTGCACCCTCCTCTGCACCCCCATTTTCCTGCCTTCCCTTGAGTCCGCATTTCCCAGCCCTCTTTTGCCCCCTACATTTTCCCATGCTCTCTTGCATGCCTGTTTATCACCCTCTTTTGTGCCCCCATTTCCAGGCCCTCAGCCCCTGGCTCTGAGGCTCCTTATTTCAAATGACTTTTTTTTTTTTGAGACGGAGTCTCCCTCTGTCTCCCAGGCTAGAGTGCAGTGGCGCGATCTCAGCTCACTGCAACCTCCACCTCCCAGGTTCAAGAGATTCTCCTGCCTCAGCCTCCCGAGTAGCTGGGACTACAGGCACCTACCACCACACCCAGCTAATTTTTCTGTATTTTTAATAGCAACAGGGTTTCACCGCATTAGCCAGGATGATCTCCATCTCCTGACCTCGTGATCTGCCCACCTCGGCCTCCCAGAGTGCTGGGATTACAGGCGTGAGCCACCGCACCCGGCCTCGACCTCTTAAAGAAAGGTGTGGAAGGACACACTCCTGGCTGTGAACAGCGCCCGTGGTCCAGGAGACATCACTCCTCTGTGAACATCTTGCTTAGTTCTACATGTTCCAAGAAGCAGGCGATTTGACAAACATTCATTAGATTAATTAAAGTGTAAGCTATTTTCTCCCATTTGAGCCATCCCCCTTCCCCCAATCCATGCAGGACCTGGACCCAGACACACCCCAGCCCAGGGCTGGACAGAGAGGGGACCGGGGTGGGGCAATGTGAAGCTGATGTGGTTAGAGTGGGGAGGTATGGGGGCAAAGTGGGCTACAGACTGCAGGATCTGGGCCTGGAGGTCTTCAGTGCCCACATACAGAATGTTTTTGGTCCTGAAATGCTAACTACATCTATCATCATGGAGAAAAGCCCAGTGACCTGCTACTTGGGAGGCTAAGATGGGAGGATCACTTGAGGCAGGGAGGTCGTGGCTGCCGTGAGCCATGATCACCCCACTGCACTCCAGCCTGGGCAACGGAGCAAGATTCTGTCTCAAAAGAAAAAAGAAAAAAGAAAAGCCCAGTGACCAAAGGCACACAGCTCCAGGACTCTCGGCCTTACAGGTTCCTGCCCTCATGTTACTCTTGCGGCTTCAAAGCCTGGTCTTGCTTCCTGTGTGGCCTCAGTCAGGTCCCTTGGCCTCTCTGAACCCTGTATGAAGGATGGGTCAAGTGTGGGCTGGGGCTTGGGGGGCCCTATGACTTGTAGCTAGATTTCTGCATCATGGAGCCTCTGGATCCATTCATTCATTCATTCTCCACGGGTTTCTTAAGTACTGCCTTGCCAGGCTTTGGGGGCACGGCTGTTTTTGTTTTGGTTTTGTTTTACTTTGTTTTGTTTTGAGACAGAGTCTCACTCTGTCGCCCAGGCTGGAGTGGAATGGCACGACCTTGACTCACTGCAACCTCCACCTCCTGGATTCAAGCGATTCTCCTGCCCCCACCTCCCAAGTAGCTGGGATTATAGGCGTGCGCCACCACACCCGGGTAATTTTTGTATTGTTAGTAGAGACGGGTTTTCAACATGGTGGCCAGGCTGGTCTCGAACTCCTGACCTCATGTGATTCGCCGGCCTCTGCCTCCCAGTGTGCTGGGATTGTAGGCGTGACCCACCGCACCCAGCAGGGGGCACACCTGTTAACAGGACAGCCCAAGTTCCCCCCTCCCCCGCTTGGATCCCCCAGTCTACTAGGAGATGTCAACTGTGCAAGTGGTCAGCTCTGGGCATTATGCCCACAGGGTCCTGGTGGCATCTGGAGGGTACCAGGGTAGCATACCATGCCTGTTCTCTTTCCCTGGTGTGACCTATTTGAAGGATGAGGAGCCAACAGGGGGCAGTTTGGGGCACCTGATTCCCTGAACCATGGGTCTTGCTCTAGTACCCGATTGTGATGTGATAAAAGGCTGACGACCAGGGCAGGGAGCAGCTGCTGGGCAGCCTTAGACAACCACCAAGCAGCCAGGACAGAGGGGCAGAGCAAGTCAGTGTTGGCGCCCCTGCCTCAGACCCCTATCATCTTGGGGAACAGTAGCCCAGAGGTTCAGGAAGATGTTAACTTAAATGTTCAGGGTGCCCCAGTCTGTTCAGCATGGCTGAAATCCACACTCCGTACGCTTCCTTGAAGAGACTGTTATCTTTACTCAATGGCTTCGTGGCTGTAAGTATGTCACAATCCAGGCCCCTGGTTTGTTGCAGCCCTTCCTCCACAGTCAGCTCCCTGAAAGACAGAAATAAGTTGATCCAAATTGGCGTCGAGATCTGTGGTTCCCAAGAGAAGCAGGAGGGATGTAGGGCAGACGGAGGAGGACGAGCAGGGAACTTTGGGACCTGCCATCAACCCAGAGCTGGTGAAATCCAGCACAGATGAGTGTGATCTGGGGGAGCCCAGGTGGGTGATGGAAGAGCTTGGCTCTGAGTCAAATCCTGCAGCCGACCAAGTTGTTTGGGAAGGCCAGGAGAAAAGGTTATTTTCTGAATCTTTTAAATTTGTCAAGACATATTTTTCCTTACCATACAAGTAACCCGAAATGTACATTGCTAAGGAATTGCCAGGCCGGGCGTGGTGGCTTACACCTGTAATCCCAACACTTTGGGAGGCCGAGGCTGGCGGATCACGAGGTCGGGAGTTCGAGACCAGCCTTGGCCAATATGGGGAAACCCTGTCTCTACTAAAAATTCCAAAAAAAATTAGACGGGCGTGGTAGCACACACCTGTAATCCCAGCTACTCGGGAGGCTGAGGCATGAGAATCGCTTGAACCTGGGTGGCAGAGGTTGGCAGTGAGCCGAGATTGCGCCACTGCACTCCAGCCTGGGCAACAGAGTGAGACTCCGTCTTGATTTAAAAAAAAAAAAAAAAGAAGAAGTAATTGTCTTCATTGTAGCATAGTCTAAGGAAAAGCTGCCAGGAAAGAGAAGGAAATGAAATATCACCCCTCCCCTTCACTTGTATTGTAACATTTTAAAGAGAATTAAGGCCGGGTGTGGTGACTCAAGCCTGTAATCCCAACACTTTGGGAGGCCGAGATGGGCAGATCCCTTGAGCCAGGAGCTCAAGACCGACTATAGTGAGATCCCCATCTCTATTTAAAAATAAATAAATAAATAAAGTGTTATTGGAACACGGCCATGCTCACTTATATGCAGATTGTGAACAGCTGCTTTTAGGCTACACCAATAGAACCGCGTAGTTTCAACAGACACCCTAAGGCCTGCAGAGTCCCCAACATCTGGGTTCAGGAAAAAAAAAAATTTGCTAATCCCTGTCCTATGACATTATTTATTTTATATTTTATTTTATTTTATTTTGAGTCGGAGTCTTGTTCTGTCACTCAGGCTGGAGTGCAGTGGCACGATCTCAGCTCACTGCAACCTCTGCCTCCCAGATTTAAGCGATTCTTCTGCCTCAGTCTCCTGAGTAGCTGGGATTATAGGCCGCCACCATGCCTGGCTAGTTTTGTATTTTTAGTAGAGACAGGGTTTCGCCATGTTGGCCAGGCTGGTCTTGAACTCCTGACCTCAGGTGATCTGCCTGCTTCGGCCTCCCAAAGTGCTGGGATTATAGGCTTGAGCCACCGTGCCTGGCCTATTTTATTTTTTGAGACAGGGTCTTGATCTGTCATTCAGGCTGGAGCCTAGTGGCACAGTCGTAAGTCACTGCAGCCTCGACCTCATGGGCTAAAGTGATCCTCCCACTGCAGACACCTGAGGAGCTGAGACTACAGGCACGCACTACCATCCCCAGCTATTTTTTTTTTTTTTTTTTTGCGGTGGGGAGAGGGTACAGATGAGGTCCTACCAACCTGGTCTTGAACTCCTGGGCTCCCAAAGTGCTGGGATTACAGGCATGAGCCACTGCACTCACCCAGTTCTATTTGTGCACAACTAACAGATTACTTTTCTTCCTTTCTGATTTCTGTTCTAAAGATGTCTGGCATCATCCTCGTCGGCCTGGGCATTGGTGGTAAATGTGGAGGGGCCTCCCTGACGAGTGTCCTCGGGCTGTCCTCCGCATATCTCCTTCACGTTGGCAACCTGTGCTTGGTGATGGGATGCATCACGGTACTGCTTAGCTGTGCCGGGTGGTATGGAGTGACTAAAGAGAGCAGAGGCATGCTCTTATTTGTAAGTTGGATCTGCACACAGACCCCAAAACTGCCTCCCCACACATACAAATCTTTTTTTTTTTTTTTTTTTTTGAGACAGAGTCTCACTTTGTCACCCAGGCTGGAGTGCAGTGGCACGATCTCAGCTCACTGCAACCTCTACCTCCCGGGTTCAAGCGATTCTTCTGCCTCAGTCTCCCAAGTAGATGGGATTACAGGTGCCGGCCACCACGCCCTGCTAATTTTTGTATTTTTAGTAGAGACAGGGTTTCGCCATGTTGGCCAGGCTGGTCTTGAACTCCTGACCTCGTGATCTGCCCGCCTCGGCCTCCCAAAGTGCTGGGATTACAAGTGTGAGCCACTGCGCTTGGTCTTGAATTGTTTCAAACTAGAGAGGCCAGGGTGGCCTGGGGTGGAGGGTCGGGGGAACAGAGACAGCCCCTCCCCTGCAGGGTACAAGGTCAGGAGGAGGCTGAGCAGGCTCCCAGGCCCTCTCTCCCACTGTGTGTCTTTTAGTGCATCCTGTCAATGGTTATTGTCCTCATCGTGGAAGTCACAGCTGCCACAGTGGTCCTTCTTTTCTTTCCAATTGTAAGTACAGCCCTGCTCCACCCACGTAGCATTAGAAAGATAAAGAACCAAAGCCGGGCGTGGTGGCTCACGTCTGTAATCCCAGCACTTTGGGAGGCTGAGTCGGGTGGATCACCTGAGGTCATGAGTTCGAGACCATCCTGGCCAACATGGTGAAACCCTGTATCTACTAAAAATACAAAAAATTAGCCAGGCATGGTGGCGGGCGCCTGTAGTCCCAGCTACTTGGGAGGCTGAGGCGGGAGAATGGCGTGAACCTCAGAGGCGGAGCTTGCAGTGAGCCAAGATTGTGCCACTGCTCCAGCCCGAGCGAAAGAGCGAGACTCCGTCTCAAAAAAAAAAAAAAAAAAAAAGATATAGAACCAATAGAAGTCCGCCCTCCCCGCCAGGCACCCACGATCAATTGTGGAGGGGCCTATCACACGTGCCACTTTCAATGGAGTGAGAAGCTGAAATCCTCAGCCTGCCCCTCCAAGGCCTCACAAAACCTGCCGAGTTCATTTAGTTCATCTCTCTTGGGTTTGGTGGCAGGAAAAGGGGAGATGATCAGAAGTGTTTGCATATTGATTGGGGTTTTGAAATGTATTCAAAATAGAGGGACAATTTAGCAAAATTCATCCAAATGACAAAAGCTTCAGCACTTTGACCTGGCAGTCCCATCTCTGGGAATTATTCAAGGACTCACTTGCTGGTGTGCAGAATCACATTCATGCCAGGGCATGTGAAAGATTGCAAGGAGGGCCAGGTGCGGTGGCTCACTCCTGTAATCCCAGCACTCTGGGAGACTGAGGCAGGTGGATCGCAAGGTCAGGAGATCAAGACCAGCCTGGCCAACATGGTGAAACCCCGTCTGTACTAAAAATGCGAAAAAACTAGCCAGGCGTGGTGGCACATGCCTGTAATCCCAGCTACTCAGGAAGCTGAGACAGGAGAATCACTTGAACCCAGGAGCCAGAGGTTGCAGTGAGCTGAGATTGTGCCATTGCCCTCCAGCCTGGACAACAAGAGTGAAACTCTGTCTCAAAAAAAAAAAAAAAAAAAAAACAGAAAGAAAGAAAAAGAAAAAGAAAGAAAGAAAAAAGATCGCAAAGAACCTAGTGAGTATGAATAAGGGTTTAGGTGAGTTAAAATACATCCACACAGTGGAATCCTGTACATCAGGTACAGAGAAGGAGGCGGCTCTCTGGGCACCAGATGGAATGCTCTCCAGGATAGAGTGCCGTCCTCATTGGCATCCTCCCCAGAGGCTGACCCTGAAACAAGAATTCAAAGGCATGTGGTTTGTTTGGGAGGTGATCCCAGAAAACACCTGCAGGGCACATAGCAAATGAGGCAGGTAAGGGAAGACAGCCCACAAAAGGGGATGCTGGGCACAGCATAGAACATGCACCTAAGTTATTCCACTCAAGTGGAGAGGGAGTTGGGATATTAATCCACCAACTCCCACTAGCCATTGATGGAGGTCTGCTCCCAGGGGGCACGTGGGCTCAGAGGCCAGAGAATCCTCACTTGCTGGCACTAGGGAGCCAGGCCAGTGGGCACAGAACTGACAAGGGCCACAGAGTTATGGGCAGCCCACCAAGAGCCCCTGCTACTCCTGTCGAGAACAGCCAGATGCAGAAAAATGAGTGCAGCATAAACCAAGGAGGAAGAATAGTGAACATATACTTTACTTTGACACACATAGAAGAACATCTCTTTGGGGACACAGGAAACAGTTAACAGTCATTGGCATGGAGTGGGAGGAAATTTTTGGCTGGGAGGAAGGGGTGGGAGAGAGACTTTTCATGGTCTACCCTTCTGTGCATTGTCAATTTCGAACCACGTGCCTCTATCATCACTTTGCAAAAGGATTTTTTAAACCTTTGTTTAAAAAACAGAAAATTAAATGTGCCCCTTTTGTGCAGAGAGAGATTCCGTGGAGATGATATTCAATTCTTTAATGGAGTTACAGCCACATCGTGGGTGCAGCAGGGTGTGGGCGATTCCAAAGAGCAGATGATTCAAATTCGTGTGTGATGGGTACAGAGAGATACGCTTGGCTCCAGACCCACGCGTCTCCCTGTTTCCCTCTCTTGGGCGGGAGAGGGGGCACAGTAGCCTCCGTGTGTCTTCCTCTAGCACAGACCCATGAGCTGAGGGTAGGAAAAATGAAGGCAGCACGAGGGAAGCCCCCACCTCCCACTGTATCCTCAAGAACCTCTGCCAATGAATGGGCCACTCTTGCTAGTTGGGGTACTGACCGCTTCCTGTCCCATCTGTGAGGTTCGAGATGTGGTCTTGGAGCACACCATCGTGACCCTGAGGAAGAATTACAGAGGTTACAATGAGCCAGACGACTATTCTACACAGTGGAACTTGGTCATGGAGAAGGTGAGGCTCACTTAAAAAAAAAAAAAAAAAATTGTGGTAAAAGGTACACGACATGGGTGGGCAAAGCGGCTCATGCCTGTAATCCCAGCACTTTGGGAGGCCGAGGTAGGAGGATCACTTGAGGCCAGAAGTTTGAGACCAGCCTGACCAACATGGGGAAACCCCGTCTCTACTAAAAATACAAAAATTACCTGCGTGTGGTGGCAGGCATCTGTAGTCCCAGCTACTCAGCAGGCTGAGGCAGGAGAATCGCTTGAACCTGGGAGGCGGAGGTTGCAGTGAGTTGAGATTGCACCACTGCATTCCAGCCTGGGCGACAGAGGGAGTCTCTTTAAAAGAAAAAAAGAAATAGCCAGTCATAGTGGTGCATGCTTGTGGTCCCAGCTACTCAGGAGGCTGAGGTGGGAGGATTGCTTGAGTCCAGGAAGTCAAGGCTGCAGCGAACTATGATGGCGCCACTACACTCCAGCCTGGGTGACAGAGCAAGACCCTATTTCAAAAAAGAAAAAATATTTTTAAAAAGATACACAAATGAAATGTATCATTTAACAATTTTTGTTTTTTGAGTTGGAGTCTCATTCTGTCACCTAGGCTGGAGTGCAGTGGTGCAATCTCAGCTTTCTGCAACCTCCACCTCCCGGGTTGAAGCAGTTCTCCTGTCTTAGCTTCTCAAGGAGCTGGGATTAGAGGCACCCACCACCATGCCTGGCTAATTTTTGTTTTTTCAGTAGAGACGGGGTTTCACCATATTGGTCAGGCTGGTCTTGAACTCCTGGCCTCAGGTGATCCACCCGCTTTGGCATCTCAGAGTTCTGGGATTACAGGCATGAGCCACTGTGCCCGGCCTAAAATTTTTAGTAGAGATCTTTCAGCATGTTGCCTAGGCTGGTCTTGAACTCCTGGGCTCAAGGGATCTGCCTGCCTAGTCTTCCTAAAGTGCTAGGATTACAACGGTGAGCCACTGCGCCCAGCCCTATTTATTAAAAAAAAAAAAAAAAAAGTTTTGCTCGCTATGTTGCCCAGGCTGGTCTTGAACTCCTCACCTCAAGTGATCTTCCCGAATTGGCCTCTCCAAGTGTTGGGATTATAGGCATGAGTCACCGCAACTGGCTGATGCCTTTCTGCATGCTGGTTTTGGCTTCTCAAGCTTGTGATGGTACAGAATGTCTCTCTTTCATTCATTCATACAGTCCTCCCACGAATATTTATTGAGTATCTGTTATGAGTCAGGCTCTGTTTAGGGCTCTTGTTAGGGCACAAAAAAATCCTTGTCGGTGCTGGGCGTGGTGGCTCACGCCTGTAATCCCAGCACTTTGGGAGGCCGAGGCGGGTGGATCACCTGAGGTCAGCAGTTCGAGACCAGCCTGGCCAACATAGCGAAACCCCGTCTCTACTAAAAATACAAAAATTAGTCGGGCATGGTGGTGCATGCCTGTAATCGCAGCTACTCGGGAGGCTGAGGCAGGAGAACTGCTTGAACCTGGGAGGTGGAGGATGCAGTGAGTAAGATCGCGCCATTGCACTCCAGCCTGAGTGACAGAGGCAGACTCCGTCTCGAAAAAAAAAAAAAAATCTTTGTTGGGCCAGGCTCAGTGGCTCACATCTGTAATCCCAGCACTTTGGGAGCCTGAGGCGGGTGGATTGCTTGAGGCTAAGAGTTTGAGACCAGCCCAGGCAACATAGCAAGACCCATCTCTACAATAGATTAAAAATATAGCCAGGCATGATGGCCTGCACCTGTAGTCCCAGCTACTTGGGAGGCAGAGGTGGGAGAATCGCTTGAGCCCAGAAGATTGAAGTTGTGGTAAGCTATGATCTCAGCACTGCACTTCAAACTGTTTCTGAGGAACTGCCAGACTCCTTTCCACAGTGGCTGTATCATTTTCCATTTCCATCAGCAATGCAGCAGTCCAATTTCTCCACATCCTTGACACCCGTCATTTTCTGGGTGTTTTTTTTTTTTTTTCTTTGAGATGGAGTCTCACTCTGTCACCCAGGCTGGAGTGCAGTGGCGCAATCTTGGCTCACTGCAACCTCCGCCTCCTGGTTTCAAGTGATTCTCCTGCCTTAGCCTCCCAGGCAGCTGGGATTACAAGCGTGCACCACCATACCTGGCTAATTTTTGTATTTCTAGTAGAGACAGGACTTCACCATGTTGGCCCCATCTCTACTAAAAATACAAAAATTAGCCAGGCGTGGGGGCATGCGCCTGTAATCCCAGCTTCTCAGGAGGCTGAGGCAGGAGAATCGCTGAGGAGTTCAGCTTGTTTTGTTTTTAGAGACAGGGTCTTGCTCTGTTGTCCAGGCTGGAATGTAGTGGTGTGATCATAGCTCACTGCAGCCTTGATCTCCCGGGCTCAAGCGATCCTCCAGCCTCAGCCTCCTGAGTAGCTGGAACTACAGGCATCTGCCACCATGCCTGGCTAATTTTTTAATATTTGCCGAGGTGGGGTCTCACCCTGTTGCCCAAGCTGGGAGTTCAGCTTCTACCCTGAGTGAGATGGGAGTCAGGGAGGGTGCTGAGCTGCGATGGGATGTTTGTAAGAGGACATTTAGCACAGTCTCTGGAATATCGTGACCACACTAGACAGTAGCCATGGTAACCATGATTTCTGATGCGTTTATTATTTTATTATTTGAAAGAGACTCTCCAAGTATTTCTTCTCCTCTCTATAGCTAAAGTGCTGTGGGGTGAATAACTACACAGATTTTTCTGGCTCTTCCTTCGAAATGACAACGGGCCACACCTACCCCAGGGGTTGCTGTAAATCCATCGGAACTGTGACCTGTGATGGACGCAATGTGTCTACAAACGTCATCTACCAGAAGGTAACTGGAGATTTTGTGTGCTCCCTTGACAGACCCCTGAGGGCTGGTGACTTTATTTTTATCTTATTTTGAGATAGAGTTTCACTCTTGTTGCCCAGGCTGGAGTGCAATGGTGCAGTCTCGGCTCACTGCAACCTCCACCTCCCAGGTTCAAGTGATTCTCCCGCCTCAACCTCCCAAGTAGCTGGGATCACAGGCATGTGCCACCACACCTGGCTAATTTTGTATTTTTAGTAGAGATGGGGTTTCACCATGTTGACCAGGCTGGTCTCGAACCTCAAGTGATCCACCCACCTCGGCCTCCCAAAGTGCTGGGATTACAGGCATGAGCCACCGCACCCAGCCTTTTTATTTATTTATTTGTTTATTTTGAGATGGGGTCTCACTGTGTCTCCCAGGTTGGAGTGCAATGGTGCCATCTTGGCTCACTGCGACCTCCACCTCCTGGGTTCAAGCGAGTCTCCTGCCTCAGTCTCCCGAGTAGCTGGGATTACAGGTATGTACCACCACGCCTGGATGATTTTTGTATTTTTAGTCGAGATGGGGTTTCATCATGTTGGCCAGGCTGGTCTCAGCTCAAGTGAACTCCTGAGCTCAAGTGATCCTCCCACCTCAGCCTCCCAAAGTGCTGGGATACAGACATGAGCCACCACACCTGGACTTATTTTTAGTTTTTTAGAGATAGGCTCTCACTCTGTTGCCCAGGCAGGAGTGCAGTGGTGTGACGGCTCGATGCAGCCTCAAACTCCTGGGCTCAAGTGATCCTCCTGCCTCAGTCTCCCGAGTAGCTGGGACCACAGGCACGTGCCACCATGCCTGGCTAATTTTTTAAAATTTTTATTAGAGTCGGGGTCTTAGTATGTTGCCTAGGCTGGTCTCGAACTCCTGACCTCAAATGATCCTCCTGCCTCAGCCTCTCAAAATGCTGGGATTATAGGCATGAACCACCACACCCAGCCTGGCAACTTTAATAAAAATGGCTTCTTTTGGGGGACCTCTGCAAAGGGGGTCAGGGAGAAAGAAATCAACTCTTACTGAGTGTTCAGCTTATTTCGACAACACAGCTCAGGAACTTACGGTTCCACCTTCTCTTAGAAACTGAGGCTTGGGGAGGGGACATCACTAGTTCAAGATCACAGAGTTTTGGCAGAGTTGGAATCTGAAGCCACATTGGCCTGAATCCATTGCCAGCACCATACTACTTGCCCTCCAGAGACCTTAAATGGAGCAGTAACCATGAAAAGTGACCATCCCAGCGGGAGTGAGGGCCAGCCACGTGATGGAACACTCACTTTGTGAGTTTTGTCCCATCATATCCCTTGAGGTGGGAAATTACTCTTGTCTCATTTTGCAGATGAGGAAATTGAGGCACAGAGAGTTTCTTGTGTCCAGGCAATGGTGAGCTGGGTTTCAAGCCCCACCCCAGTTACCCCTTCACTTCTGCCATGAGTAATGAGCACAGAGATCTTCTGTGAGGGAAGAAATAGAAATCAGAGCTGGGGCAACATAGCAAAGTCCCCACCACAACAACAACAAAAATTTTTTTTGAGACGCAGTCTTGCTCTGTCACCCAGGATGGAGTACAGTGGTGCAATCTCAGCTCACTGCAGCCTCCGCCTCCCGGGTTCAAGTGATTCTCCTGCCTCAGCCTCCCGAGTGGCTGGGATTACAGGCTTGTGACACCACGGCTGGTTAGTTTTTGCATTTTTAGTAGAAACGGGATTTTACCATGTTGGTCAGGCTGGTCTCGAACTCCTGACCTCAGGTGATCCACCCGCCTCAGCCTCCCAAAGTGCTGGGATTACAGGCATGATCCACCCTGCCCGGCCAAAGAAATTTTTTTATATTAGCTGAGTGTGGTGGCACATGCCTAAAGTCCCAGCTATTCTGGTGGTTGAGGCGGGAGGATCACTGAAGTCCAGCAGTTCAAGACCAGCCTTGGCAACATAGCAAGATGCCATTTTTACAAAAAATTTAAAAATCAGCTGGGCATGGTGGCGTGAACCTGTAGTCCCAGCTAACTGGGAGGCTGAGGCAGGAGGATCGATTGAGCCCAGGAGATCAAGGCAACAGTGAGCTGTGACTGTGCCACTGCACTCCAGCCGGGGCCACAGAGCAAGACCCTTCTCTAAAATAGAAAAAAGAAGAAGAAGAAGAAGAAGAAATATGAATCGTTCATTCCTTCATTTGCACTGAATGGCTCCTGCAAGGAAATAGGCCCTGTGGAAAATCAGCCAGGTTGAGTCCCAGGCAGAGGCCTCAGTGACAGACACAGGCCAGACACTGGCCCACTGGGCCCTGCACAAACTGCCTATCACCTCCTATCCTTTCCCCCTTGCTCACTGTGTTCCGGCTGTGCTGGCCTCCTTGCTACTGCTCAGAAACACCAGGCACATGCCTGCCTC